CCCTGCTGAATATGGGATGTGAATATATAGGAGTTTATCTATTCACCTACGATAAACATTTGGGTTGTTTCCAGTTTGGAACTCCTACAAGTAGAGCTGTAATGAATGTTCATTTACAAGTCTATGTATGGACATATGATTTCAGTTCCCTTATATCACACCTAGGAGTAGAATGACTGGCTATTGTGGTAGGTGTAAACTTAACTTTCTAAGAAATTGCTAACTGTTTTCTACACTGTTCTATTTTACTTTTCCAGCAGCAGGTGGAAGAGTTCCAGCTTCTCCTCATCCTCGGCAACACTTGGTATGGTCTATCTTTCTAACTTCAGGCTTTCTAATACATGTGTAATTATAATTTGCATTTCTATGACGATAACCATGTTGAACATCTTTTAATATGCCTGTTTGCCTTATGTGTATCTTCTTTGGTTAAGTGTCAATGCAAATCTTTTTTCCATTTTTAAAAATTGCATCATTTTCTTATTACTGAGTTTTAAGAGTTTTCAAAGTATTCTGAACACAAGCACTTTATCATATATATGACCTACAAATATTTTCTCCCAGTCTTTGGGCTACCTTTTATTCTCTTAAGTGTCTTTTGAAGAGCATAAGTTTATTTTAGAAAGGTTTAAATTATCAATTTGTTCTTATAGATTGTGCTTTAATGTCATATCTAAGGAATCTTTGTCTAACTGAAGATTGCAAAGGTTTTCTCCTGAGTTTTCTTCTAGAAGTTTTATAGTTTTAAGTTTTATATTTAGGCCTCTGATCTACTTTGAATTAATTTTTGTATATAGTGCAAGGTATGGATTGGAGTTCTTTTTTTCCCATATGGGTATCTAACTGAGGCAGCATTATTTATTGAAAGGATTATCCTTTTTCCACTGTATTATCTTTGCACCTTTTTCAAAAATAAACTGTCCAGGGGCTTCGCTGGTGGCGCAGTGGTTGAGAGTCCGCCTGCTGATGCAGGGGACACGGGTTCGTGCCCCGGTCCGGGAAGATCCCACATGCCGCAGAGCGGCTGGGCCCGTGAGCCATGGCCACTGAGCCTGCGTGTCCAGAGCCTGTGCTCCGCAACGGGAGAGGCCACAACAGTAAGAGGCCCGCATACCGCAAAAAAAAATAAAAATAAATAAAAAATAAAATAAAATAAACTGTCCATATCTGTGTGGGTCTAATTCTGTATTCTCTATTCAGTTTCATTGATCTATTTGTCTTTTTTTTTTTTTTTTGGTACCTGTTCATTTCCCTCACCTATTTCACTTATCCTCCCACCCCCATCCCTTCTGGCAACCACCTGTTTGTTCTCTATATCTATGACTCTTTTTTTGTTTTTTTTGTTTTGTTTGTTCACTTGTCTTGTTTTTTAGATTCTACATATAAGTGAAATCACACAGTATTTGTCTTTCTCTGACTTCACCTAGCATAGTACCCTCTAGGTCCATAGCTGTTGTTGCAAATGGCAAGGTTTTATTCTTTTTTATGGCTGACTAATATTCCATTGTGTATATCACATCTTCTTTATCCATTCATCTATCGGTGGGGACTTAGGTTGCTTCTGTATCTTGGCTATTGTGAATAATGCTGCAATGAACATAGGGTGCATATATCTTTTCAAAATAGTTTTTGTTTTGTTTTGTTTTCTTTGGGAAAATATCTAGAAGTGGAATTACTGCATCATATGGTAGTTCTATTTTTAATTTTTTGAGGAAATTCCATACTATTTTTTGTAGTGACTTCACCAATTTACATTTCCACCAACAGTGCATGAGGGTTCCCTTTTCTCCACATCCTCACCAACACTTGTTATTTGTTGTCTTTTTGTCTTTTTTGATGCCAATACCACACTGTCTTGATTACTCTGGCTTTATAAGTCTTGAAGTAGGTAGTGATGGTCCTCTAATTCTTTCTTTTCCTAAGTTACCTTGGCTATTCTAGGTACTTTGCATTTTCATATGAAGTATAACATCAGCTTCTTAATTTCTAAAAAAAATGCCAACTGGGATTATCATAGGGATTGCTTTGATTTTATAAATCAATTTGGGGAGAACTGACATCCTAAAAAAGTTGAATCTTCCAACCCATGAGTAAGGTCTCTCTCTCTCCATTTATTTAGGTCTTCTCTTAGTGGTATTTTACAGCTTTCGGGGTACAGGCCTTGTATATCTTTTGTCAAATTTAACCTTAAGTATTTCATATTTTTATACTATTATAAATAGTATAATAAATAGCATTTTTAATTTCAATTTTTTATTGCTTGTTGTCAGTATGTAGAAATATAGGAGGTTTTTGTATATTGAACTTTTATCCTGCAACCTTGCTAACTTCATTTATTAGTTCTAGTAGATTTTTTTTTAAAGATTACATCAGGTTTTCTCTATAGATAATCATATTGTCTGATTATAAATAAAGAAAGCTTTACATAGTTCTTTCCAGTATGGATAAAACAGTCCCACACCACCCAAAAAAATTCCCTCATGCTGTCCTTTTTAAATAACATTAAATAACATCATCCCTCCACTTATAACTCCTGCCAACCACTAATCTGTTCTCCATTACTCATTTTGATTTTCAAGAATGCCTTATAAATGGAATCACTGCACATAAATTTTTAGACTGGTTTCTTTTATTCAGCATAATGCCTTTGAGATTCATCCATGTTTTTGTATGTATCAGTAGTTCTCCCCTTTTTATCACTGAGTAGTATTCCATTATGTGGATATAACACAGTTGGTTTGTCTATTCACCTGGTGAAGGACATTTGGATTGTTTCCCATTTGGGGTAATTATAAATAGAACTGCTATAAACACTTTGTGTACAGGCTTTTTTGTGCCCACAAGTTTTCATACTCTTAGAGTAGATACTCAGGGGTGGTATTCCTGGGTCATATGATTAATATATGTTCAACTTTATAAGACACTGCCAAACCCTTTTCCAGAGTGATGGTATCACTTTGCATTCCTAACAACCATCCATGTATGAGAGTGCAATTGCTCTGCATCTTCACAAGTATTTCATACTGTCAATATTTTTTTTAAAATTTGAGCCATTGCAATAGGTATGTAGTAGTGATTGATAAGTTATTAAGAAATATTTCCTAATATCTTGAGGTTCTGTATACCTCTAAATATCTGTTATTGATTTCTAAAATAATTTCTGTATGATCAGAGAACATAATTTGTATGACTTGAGTACTTATAAATTTATTAAGACTTGTTTATGGCCCAGAATATGATTTTTCTTGATAAATGTTTCAAGTGTACTTAAAAAATAATTTGTATCCTGCTGTTGTTGGGTAGAGTGTTCTACAACTGTCAGTCAGATCAAATTCGTTAATAGTGTTCAAGTTTTCTGCATCCTTGCTGATTTCTTTGTATACATGTTCTATAAATTATTGAGAGAGGGTATTGAAATCTCTGACTGTAATTGTGGATTTGTCTATTTCTCATTGAAATTCTATCAGTTTTGCTTCATGGATTTCAAGGCTCTGTTATTAGGTTCATTAACATTTAGGACTGTTAGGTATTCTTGATGAATCGACCCCTTTATTATTATAAAACATACCTCTTTATCCCAGTTAATATTCTTTGCTCTGAAATGTTCTACATATGATATTAATATAGCCACTCCAGCTTTCTTTAGTCTTAGCATGGTACATCTATTTCTACTCTTTTAATTTTAACTTGTATGTGTCTTTACATTTAAAGTGGATTTTTGGTGGGCAGCATATATGAGTCTTTCTCCTTTATCTTATCTGACAATTTCTGTCTTTTGATTGGAGTCTTTAGACTATTTACATTTGATATGATTATTGATATGGTTAGGGTTTCCTATTTGTCTCATCAGTTTTTTGCCCTTTTAACACTTTTTTTTTTTTTTTTTTTTTTTTTTTTTTTTTGCGGTACGCGGGCCTCTCACTGTTGTGGCCTCTCCCGTTGCGGAGCACAGGCTCCCGACACGCAGGCTCAGCGGCCATGGCTCACGGGCCCAGCTGCTACGCGGCACGTGGGATCCTCCCGGACGGGAGCACAAACCCATGTCCCCTGCATCGGCAGGCGGACTCTCAACCACTGCGCCACCAGGGAAGCACACATTATTATTTTTGTTTAAACATTTTAGATATCTTTTAAAGGAATTTAAATAGTAAGAGAAAGTCTTTTATATTTACCTACATAGCTATCATCCAGTGCTTTTCATTCCTTTGTGTAGATTCACATTTCTCTGTGATGCCATTTTTCTTCTGCCTAAAGGCCTTCCTTTAACATTATTTCTTATAATGCTGGTCTGCTGCTGATGAATTCTTTCAGTTTTTGTATGTCTAAATATTCTTTATTTCACCTTCATTTATTTATTTATTTGTGTTTGTTTGTTTGTTTGTTTGGCCTTGCAGCTTGCAGGATCTTATTTCCCCAACCAGGAATTGAACCCAGACCCTTGGCAGTGAAAGCACAGAGTCCTAACCCCTAGAACCACCAGGGAATTCCTTCACCTTCATTTATTGAAAGATATGCTTTTTGGCCTGGAATTCTTAATTAACAAATTTTTTGCTGTCAGTACTTTTAAGATGTTGCTTCACTGTCTTCTCACTTCTGCTGTTTCCTTCAGGAAATCTCTTGTCCTTTACTTTGTTCCTCTATGTTCCTCTTTGTTCCTCTGGCTGCATTTCAGATTTTGTCTTTATCACTAGTTTTGAGCAGTTTGATCATGATGTGCCTTGGTATAAATTTCTTCATTTTTAATTTGCTAGGGTTTTTCTTCTTAGTTCATCAAAATTTGAAAAGTTTTGTTCATTATTTCTACAGCTTTTTTTGGTCTCTTCCCTCCTTTGGGGATTTCAATCACACTTATACTAGGCTACTTCAAGTTATCCTACACCTCACTGTCTTCATTTTTTTCAAAAAATTTTTCTCTTTCTTTCATTTTGTTTCTATTGCTATGTTTTCAAATTCACTATTCCTTTTTTTTGCCCATCTAATCTGTTTTGCTCTGAAATCTTGTTATTAATCTAATCCAGTGTATATTTTCATTGCAGACATTATATCAATAGTTTTCATCCTTAAAAGTTCAGTTTGGGGTTTATTTTAAACATCTTCCACATCTCTACGTAACATGTTCAGCATTTCCTCTTGACTTTTGAACATGTGGAATATACTAATCTAGATATATACTAGAATTATATATCTGCTAATTCTAATGTTCTGTGTTGATTATGAGTCAGCTTCAATTGATTGAGTTTTTATTATGGCTTGTGTCTTCTTGCCTTTCTGGATTTGAGGTAAGTTTTTAAATTGGATGTTAGACATTGTAAATTTTACTTCATTGGATGCTGGATATTTTTGTAACCGAGCAAGGGCTTATGTGCCTGCAGCACAGAAAGTCAAACTCTGACAGACGGTGTTTGCAGCAAAGTAAGGGTTTCTTGCAGGGCACCAAGCAAGGGAGTGGTCTTTGAGATAGGGATATTTTAAAGGGGAAGAACAAGGAAACTGGGTTTAATCATCATCTTGTGACATTTCTTAATCAGGGTTTTGGTAGTCAGGATGTCTCTGGTTTATGATTCTCTGGCCAAGTGGTCCATGGCTTGGGGGTCTGTGAGTTCATCTTGCCCTAGAGAAACAAACTGAGTTTATATGTTAATGATGATACCTATAACAGCAATTTTAGTACATTTACGATGTTGTCAACAACTGCAATCTTAGTCATCTGTTCTGGTTTATTAGTGTCCAATTAGCACAAGATTGAGGTCAGAGAGGACAAGAAAGGGATTGAGGTCAGAGGAGACAAGCAAGGGAATAAAGTTTTGGATAGATTAATCACAAACTCAGTAAGGGAACTTGGTTTTAGGGGGGCTTAGTTTCATATTTGTATTCCTATAAATATTCTTGAGTTTGTTCTGGTATGTAGTTAAGTTACGTAGTAAGTTTGATCTTCTGACTTCTAAGATTTGGTGGGCAATACAAGAGCAGCATTTATTCTAGGGTTAATTTTTCCCACTACTTGGCTATGCTCTTCGGAGTACTCTAACCCAATATCTGTGAATTATGAGGTTTTCCTTTCTCACTGATGGAAACAGGCATTATTCCTGGCCCTGTGTGAGCTCAGCTTACTGTTCCCACTGATGATTTCAGGTGATTCTTTCTTTTCAGACTCAGACCCAGATAGTCTCTCCTCACTTTGCACTGGAAACATCACAAATGTACTCTAGCAGGTGAGAAAAGAAGATGGCAGCAGGGCCTTTCTAAGACTTCCATGGCCCCAGGGTACTCCAACAGTGTAAGACCCTATGCCACTACCTACTAAGCATCTTAAAATGTACCCCATGTTCCACATTAAATGCCTTTTTTAAACTGTAACATTTGAAAATCTTTTTATAATTTGTACAGTTTTGAGTTTTATAAAGTATAGGTTGCTTGTTCTTTTCTTATAGACTTAAACATTATGCACACACAGAGTGGAGTTGATAAGTTGTAAATATTTTTGTAAATATTTAATTATTTTGATTTTGTGGGGGTTTTTTTTTTTAGTATTTTTTCAAGTCTCAAACATTTCTGCAGGCCTTTGAAAAATTTCATAGGCTCTGGGCACTGTGCCTACAGAGCTCCTGGATGGGAAAGGGGGGAGTAGAGAGGAAGGAACAAATTGGACAGCAAGGATTGGATAGTGCTTGAGCTGCATCTGATTGGAGGGGAGGGAAAAGGAACTGGAGAAGTTGTTGCTCCCTACCCAGCTAGCTTCAGCACAACCATTTGCAGAGATGGAAGAGCCAGGAGAAGGCACAAGTTGTAGAAGAAAGGGTGTATTCTATTTGGGACAGAAAGACAGCCACTCTCTTATCAGGAGGTGAAGAAAGGCAACAGGGTGCCAAATTCCTTGCCTTTTGTCATAGGGCACATCATCTTGAGCTGGTCTGGAAGATGTGAATAGTCAATACCTGTCTCTGCTAACACCCTTATTAATATGAAGACCATATCTTAGAAATGTGGCAATAACGCAGATGCCAGTCTCTAGAATAAATAGTTCCCATAGGCTAATACGCTAAGGAGGATGATGAGCTGTCTTATGATAACTTCCCCTTTTTCGCAAAGTACCTTGGCTTACTTCCTTGATCAGTTTTTCAGAATTTCATAGATGTTTCCAGCACCACCTTCTGTGATGACATCTCCCAAAGGAAGTCGAGCCCAGAAGCTGAAGCTGCCCACTTTAACACGAAAGGGGACACTGGAGGTGCCGTCCCCTACAGAGAAGGACTGGTCTAAGGATGATGAAGAGGATTGGGTCTTCAAGGGTCCAGATCAAGAGCAGGATTCCCTACCTCAGCCTTATCGAATGATCAACAAGCTAGTGAACTTTCTGTTCGACCACTCGTGGGAAATTATTGAGGAGAGGGGTGCATCGAGGAAAGCTGAGCTCAGCCGCATCCAGCCCACCATCTACCCTCCACTTCTAGAAAGCAAGGTATGGAGCAGCTGACAAGGTGGCCTTGTTTCTGAACTGAGTGTTAATAAATGATAACACCTGATCCAGGGAAGGAATTACTACCAGGAACCTTCATTCAATAGGACAGTGCATTTTTGAAAGATTATAGGCATGCTGGTGTTGATTAAAATAGATCTAGTAATTGCCTGGGGAAATGGGTGTTCTGGTTAATTGAAGATTATACAGATGTATCTTTTACATCCTATTGTTATTTAAAAATCTTTCAGAGTGTATTAATCATTCCCTTGCTTGACGGTTGAAAATCTGCCAGTGTGTCAGTTATAGTTCTCACCAGTGTTCTAGTTGAATAAAGTACAGGGAATGGGGCCACTGGTCCACTCACCACAGGGCCTGTGGTCACGCTTAGTGTTGTGAATGAGCATTTATTCTCAACTTCTTTGTTTTCTCTGGCCCCTTTCCCCTAAGAGTAGAATGCTATGACTTTCTTGATGTTTGGGCAAGATATATAGATGGGCACTGTGTTTGGACATGATACTATAACTAGGAGGGACCTGCTTCCCTCTTTGAAAAGTTAGCTCATATTACTTGCAGATGGTGATAACTGAAAAATCATTCCTTTTTTCTATGTTTTTCTTTTCCCAGCTCAACAAAATGCCGAATTGTATGGCTATTTCCCAAGACTATGTGTTTATTGGAGGAACCAAAGGATTCTCCATCTATAATCTGTACAATGCTAAACGAATATATGTTTGGGAGAAACTTAAGGTTGATGTCACTTACCTCTGGGCCACAGATTTGGGGAGTCAAATACTTATTGCTTCTGTGGATGAAATGGGTACACGTTCTTCATCTTCCTTTTTAGCCTAATTTATAGGTACCTGTAGACTGTTGTTCAACTTAATCTCCTTTCCAGGCATGGGAGGGGCCAGACCTGGAGAGTTCTCCCTGGTCATGTATTATTAACTAACATCTGCAGGACAGTATGGTGTGCCAGGCACTGTTCTAACATTTCACACAAGTTGGCGCATTTCACCATCACAACAGCCTTAGTAGGTAAATACTACTTTCAGAAGAGGCAACTGAGGCATGGAGGTTAAATAACCTACTTGAGGTAATGCAGAAAGTAAGTGGCACAGGCAGGATTTGAGCCAAGCAGTGTGGGCCCAGAGTCCACATCCTTTCCAGCACTCAGCAGTCCTGCTGCTCATTTAAGCCAGGCTTGCTTTTCTTCCTCAGCCTGAGGATGACCCAGACATGGGGACCATAGTATAGAGAACTATGGACAGTGTCCTGGAAGATATGTGTCTGCAGGAGAGTGACCTGACCCAACTGGCATTTTAGGAAGAGCACCCTGATAGGAGTTTGCAAAAGTCAAATGGAGAGGTAGAGAGACCAGGAAGAGCTAGTGCATTCATTTAGGAGAGAAATTATGAAGGCCTGAACCAAGGCAGGGTCTGTTAAAATGAAAAGAAAATTGTACTGTAGTTCTGTAAGATGTTAACATTAGGGGAAATGAGGTGAGGGATTATAAGGGAACTCTGTACTATTTTTGCAGTTTTTCTCTAAGTCTAAAATTAGTTCAAAATAAAAGGCTTAAAAAAATGAAAAGGAAAATATAGTAGAAAAACTTGGTGAGTGATGGAATATATGTATGGGGTCAGGGAGTAGGGTGGTATGTGAGGGTTAAGTGAAGAAAAATTACTCCTTTCCTCCTTAGATAATGGGGTAGATGATGATGTCATTACTTGATAAGCAATTTTAGGAGAATAAGATTTCAGGGGTCTGTGAGTTGAGAAATTCCATTTGAGCATGCACATCTTTGAGGCACCTGGAGTGGGAATGTTGATACTCAGGAGGAGTTTGGTGTAAAGATAGGACTGCATTTATCACACTGCATTATATCTAGTTAGTTTCCTGTCTGTGTGATTCTCAATGTGATGAATTTGAGGGCAGAGACTGCCTTGGTTGTCCCTAGCACATTTGTGGTCATGGAGCAGATATCCCATGAATGTTTATTGGGTTGAGTTAGACTGTCACCCACAGTGATCCAGATACCTCTGCAAGGTCATTATTATGGCTGTAGGGGCAGGTTATGAGTGTCTGGGAGGCACCTAAAGAAAGAGGCAAGAAGTCATGGTGGATGATGATCACATACTAGAGCCCTTAGGTTAAATGAGAATGAGAATGACAAAATTACTTATTGTATCAACAAAATTAACTGCACGAGGAGCTTGTTGGGCTGTGAGAAATGAGGCACATAGAAGAGTAAGATGTGATCCTTTCCCTCAGAGAATCTGTGAACTCACTCGAGGAATAAAAATCACTCACAGGAAGCAGTTGGATAACAATGTGAAACACTATGGGATGATGTGCTAAAACAGGTGAATAGAAATCACGAGTGGATTGGTGTGGCCGAAGTGCTTACAAGAGGATTCTAGAAGAAGAGGGTAGGGCCAGTGTAGACCGAGATGACCCAAGAGGGAGAATAACTTGAACATTTCAAGTGAGGGGTGGAAGAAGGCAAGGAGTCCAAGATGATCACGGGCAGTGGAGGGGCCGGGCAGGAAGCCTAATAATGCATGAGTTTATCATGATATCTCAGAAAGTCAAATATAAAATTTCAACTTTTCTTCAGTTCACCTGCCTGTCTTTCATTCTTACTTATTTTTCCATTTCAGGTATCATTAGACTATTTTATTTTTATAAGGATGGTCTTTACCTCATCAAAGCCATCAATGAAGCGGTAAGCTCATGTTCTTTCATCTGTAGCTGGGCCAAAAGCTGTAGCAAATCAAGTTTACTTTTAACATGGAGGCAATGACAGCCATCCTAGAGTAGAAAGAACTAGAGACCTCCCTGGCCAGAGAGCCTCCTCCAAAATATCCAATTAAAACATCCCTCACCATCAGAGGGTACATACTGAATGCCTTGGATTCATTTTCCCGGTTGTCAAGAGAAGAAAATTACTAAGGAACTCCGGTCCAGATTGAGCACCAGACCAACATGTCTAATAACTGCTTACAAGTCCCTAAATTTTCCAGGCTGCTTCACATCCTGTTCCCTTGTCCATGCTGTTCCCTTTGCATAGAAGGCTCTCCTTGTCTCCCTACCTACTGTGTGTACCTCTTAAATTTCTCTCATTCTTCAAGACCAGCTCATATATCCCCTCCTCTGAGATGCTTTCCCTGATATACCCAAGAGAAGTTGATCCCTCCCTCCTCTGTGCCACCACCATATAGGAAAGAATTTCTTCACAGTGTTTTCTCTACCCTCCACACTTATTTGTTTATATGACTGCTTCTTCTCCTGGATGTAAGTTCCTTGAGGGCAGAGGACATGGCTTATTCACCATATATTTCTTGTTCCTAGTACATTGCCTGCATACTATAGGTTCTTAGAAAGTGTCTTGTTTTTTTAAATTAATGAATCCAAAAAAGAGGCGGTATTGCTCAGAGTATATTTTTAGTTGTAGTTTGTTTTATAAAAAATACTATTAATGGGCACCAAAGCAATTCAGTGGGAAAAAGAAAGTATTTTCAACAAATGATGCTGGAATGCTAGATAAACAAATGGGGGAAAATGAACCTCAACCCTACCTCACATCATATATAAATATTAATTTGAGATGGATTATAGACCTAAATGTAAAGGCTAAAAACATTATCCTTTTTGAAGAAAACACAGGAAATTTTTTTTGCAACCTTGGGGCAGGCAAAGATTTCTTAGGACATAAAAGGTACCATCCATAAAAGAAAAAACTGAAATTGGACTTCATCAAAATTAGACACTTTTAATTCCTCATGACATATACAAAAATTAACTCAAAATGGTCATATATCTATATGAAAAATCTAAAACTATAAAACCTCTAGAAGAAAACATAGGAGGAAGTCTTTGTGACCTTGAGTTAGGCAAAGATTTTTCAACTACAACACGAAAACCACATTCCATACAAGAAAAAAATTGATAGATTAGACTTCATCAAAACTAAAACCTTCTGGGCTTCCCTGGTGGCACAGTGGTTAAGAACCCACCTGCCAATGTAGGGGACACAGGTTCAATCCCTGGTCCGGGAAGATCCCACATGCCGTGGAGCAACTAAGCCGGTGCATCACAACTACTGAGCCTGTGTGCTGCAACTACTGAAGTCCCACGCCTAGAGCCTGTGCTCCACAACGAGAATCCACCTCAATGAGAAGCCTGCGCACCTCAACAAAGAGTAGCCCACACTCACCGCAACTAGAGAAAGCCCCCACACAGCAACAAAGACCCCACGCAGCCAAAAATAAATAAATAAATTTTTTTAAAAAAAAAAACCCGAAAACCTTCTGTTTTGCAAAAGACATTGTTAAAAGAATAAAAAGGCAAGTCATAGACTGGGAGCAAATAATTGCAAGTCACATATATGATAAAGGACTTGTATCCAGAACATATGAAGAACTCTCAAAACTCAAAACTCAAAAGTAAGAAAACAACCCAGTTTTTTAAAATGAGCAAATGTCTTGGGGAAAAAAGGACAGTTTACTAAAGAATATATAGAGAGGGTAAATAAGATGTTCACCATCATTAGTCATTAGGGAAATGAAAATTAAAGTCATGAGCTATCACTGCATGTGTATTAGAATGCCTAAAATTGAAAAGACTGACCATACCAAGTGTTGGCAGAGCTATGGAAGAGCTGGAACTCTAATTCACTGCTGGTGGTAAAGCATAGTGTCACAACCACTTTGGCAGTTTTTTTAAGAAGTTAAACATACACCTAGCATATGATGTGGCTTTTCCACTCCTAGACATTTACCCAGGAGAGATGAAAGCATATCTCCCTACAAAGACATGTACAGGAATGTTCACAGCAGCTTTCTTTGTAATAGCCAGAAAACAGAAATCACTCAACACCCATCAACAGGTGAATGGATAAGCAAATCATGGTACACACTGCTCAGCAGTAAAAAGGGTGCACATAACAACATGGCTACATCTCAGAATAAATAGGCTGAGTGAAAGAAGAGAAACAAAAAAGAATACATACATACCGTACGATTGCATTTATGTAAAATTCTAGAAAATACAAACTAATCTAGTGACAGGAAACACCAGTTTTTGCCTGGGGTGAGTTGGGAGAGGGGTGGAGGGAAAGCTTACAAAGGGGCAGGAGGAAACTTTTGGCAGTGGTGGATATGTCCACTTTCTTGATTGTGGTGCTGGTTTCAAGGGATATACATGTCTAAACTAATCAAACTGTATACTTTAAACATGCAGTTTATTATGTTATCACATCCCTAATAAAGCTGCTAAAAAATTTAAAACTTATGCTCGTCAAAAGATGCTATTAGGGACTTCCCTGGTGGCACAGTGGTTAAGAATCCATCTGCCAATGCAGGGTACACGGGTTTGAGCCCTGGTCCAGGAAGATCCCACATGCCGCGGAGCAACTAAGCCTGTGTGCCACAACTACTGAGCCTGCATGACACAACTACTGAAGCCCGCGCACCTAGAGTCCATGCTCCTCAACAAGAGAAGCCACTGCAATAAGAAGCCCACGCACACCAACAAAGAGTAGCCCCCGCTCACTGCAACTAGAGAAAGCCCACGTGCCGCAAGGAAGACCCAACACAGCCAAAATTTAATTAATTAATTACTTAATTAAAAATAGATGCTATTAGAGTTCGATCAGTATCAGGGGCAGAGAGCGGACTCCAGAGAGCTCTGAGAAACCCCACCGCCGCCCTGCCCAGTGGCCCTCACACCCCAGGAGGAGCCACAGCTGTCACAGCTGGCCCCAGTCACCATGACCACAACCCTGAGCAAGGAGGTGGAGACCCAGCAGCCCACAGCCCTCTACACTGCCCACACCTGCACCGC